TAATACTCAAAAACTGATTTAATCGCATGCACTTGAAACTAACGATTGAATTAAATTTGCATCCACGCTATGAGAGAAATGAGTGGGAGGGTCGTAGTTAAGAAACAGATATTCTTGATTTAAATATATGTATAGTTAAGAAACAGATATTCTTGATTTAAATATATGTATACTTACCAAAAGAAATGTTTAACTAGAATTAAATTTGATTAAACTATACTTAAAACCACCAAAGGTTTCATTTTACTTTACTACATTTTTGTTGTAAATACGAAATTTCTTATATTTAGAAAGCGAATGCGAATTACAAATATATCAATTTATTAGATCAAATATATGCGTATTTTAAATCCAAACAATTGATTTATGTGTGGGTAGTGTAATATTTACTTAATTTAAGTGTATATTTTTAATTTTAATATACCATTCAAGAAAATACAATTCTAAATTTAATAATATTGATATTTTTAAGTTAATAACAGTTTATTAGAGAGAGCAAATTAACTTCTTAAATATAATCTATGACCATAAGAAAATCATTATTATTAACATAAGAGTATCGGTTTTTCAGTGTGGGGATACTTTTATCATGGAGGATTTATTTAAGAAGAAATCCAACGCATAGATTATAGGTGGGGGTTTTTTGTTTCTCCAATACCTTCCTTCATCGTAGTAATCGGAATAAACATTTATAACTGTAGCTTTGGATGGTGGTTTACCGAAAAAAGTTTACCTATGTATTTGCTTGCCAACCATTCCCTTCTTAAATATAGTGGATGATCTCCAGTTTCTTATAGCATAATATTAACTAGTGTTGTTCTCATGTAACCTCCTATATACTATATAGGAGGTTACATGAGTATATAGCTATGACTCTTAGGGCTTGATGTTGTATTCTTGAAAGTTAAATAGAAATGTTTTTTGGGACACGGTAAAAAAGGGGGCTGCAAATGTAATATGCATATAACAAGTATTTGTATTATCATGGTTATATATGCACACTGTTTAGTAAACAGCTGATTCAAAGCGCTGCAGCCCAGTGTTCTCCTGTGTGATGCGGGCTGCATATATCTCCACTATGCTCGTGAACCTTCGTGACTCCACCGGGTGTGACGGCTAGACTTTAGTTTGCTTATGACTGCCATATATTAATATCGACTGCCAGCGACTGCCGAGAAAATGTACAGGGTGGTCCACGTAAGGTGACCCATATACTTATCTCAGAAACTACTGGAGTCACAAAAAATTTGTAAGAAACAAATATTCACGAAGTAAAAAATATTTTTAAAATATTATATTTTCATTTATACAGGGTGTTCGGTTTTCCTTGGGACGATACCAACTTTCTTATTTTCAATGGAACACCCTGTATTTTTTTGCATTTTTGGATTCTACCCACTCTTTTAGGTATACTTTGTAAATATATTAATTAAGAAAATGTTAATACTTTTTGAGTAAAATTAAGATTTATTAAAATTTCTCTAAATGTAGACACTCGCTAAAAGTTAAAAATAATCAACTAAAAGTTATTATTTTTTATATTATGTAGTATCCATCTCTTTAATAATAAGTAAGCTATAAGTTAATTATTATATTTTTTGGAAAATATCATACAGGGTGTTTTCTATGTCCCGTTGAAAATAGCGATTTTAAAAGTTTAAAATCTTGTTTTTCTTCAATGGAACACCCTATATATTTTTGCATAATTGGATAGAATAAGTAATTACTTTTCATTTTATATATATATGTCCTATACCTAAACCTAATAGAAAAAAAAATATTCGCATTTTTCACAATTAGTAGCTTTTTTCCAATTACCTTAGTTAAATTTTCATTATTCAAATAAATAAATTTCAATAACAACAAATAAAAATGCTTTTATATATAAATATATATTACTATAATAATTACCATACGCGCAAAGCTACTAATTTTGTAAAATGCGAATATTTTTTTTAGGTGATCCACGTAAGGTGACCCATATACTTATCTCAGAAACTACTGGAGTCACAAAAAAATTGTAAGAAACAAATATTCACGAAGTAAAAAATATTTTTAAAATATTATATTTTCATTTATACAGGGTGTTCGGTTTTCCTTGGGACGATACCAACTTTCTTATTTTCAATGGAACACCCTATATTTTTTTGCATTTTTGGATTCTACACACTCTTTTAGGTATACTTTGTAAATATATTAATTAAGAAAATGTTAATACTTTTTGAGTAAAATGAGGATTTATTAAAATTTCTCTAAATGTAGACATTCGCTAAAAGTTAAAAATAACCAACTAAAAGTTATTATTTTTTATATTATGTAGCATTCATCTCTTTAATAATAAGTAAGCTATAAGTTAATTAATTTATTTTTTGGAAAATATTATACAGGGTGTTTTCTTTGAATAATGAAAATTTAACTAAGGTAATTGGAAAAAAGCTACTAATTGTGAAAAATGCGAATATTTTTTTTTCTGTTAGGTTTAGGTATAGGACATATATATATATAAAATGAAAGGTAATTACTTATTCTATCCAATTATGCAAAAATATATAGGGTGTTCCATTGAATAAAAACAAGATTTTAAACTTTTAAAATCGCTATTTTCAACGGGACATAGAAAACACCCTGTATGATATTTTCCAAAAAATATAATAATTAACTTATAGCTTACTTATTATTAAAGAGATGGATACTACATAATATAAAAAATAATAACTTTTAGTTGGTTATTTTTAACTTTTAGCGAGTGTCTACATTTAGAGAAATTTTAATAAATCTTAATTTTACTCAAAAAGTATTAACATTTTCTTATTTAATATATTTACAAAGTATACCTAAAAGAGTGGGAAGAATCCAAAAATGCAAAAAAATACAGGGTGTTCCATTAAAAATAAGAAAGTTGGTATCGTCCCAAGGAAAACCGAACACCCTGTATAAATTAAAATATAATATTTTAAAAATATTTTTTACTTCGTGAATATTTGTTCCTTACAAATTTTTTGTGACTCCAGTAGTTTCTGAGATAAGTATATGGGTCACCTTACGTGGACCACCCTGTACATGTAATGCCAACAGTGAGACACCCCTCGCTTTTGGGTTTAATTTAACTTTATAAAATAAGAATGTACAATTAAATGTGTAAAAAAATTAATTTTGATGATAAATAAATAAATAAATAAATAAATAAATAAATAAAAACTATTTAAATAGTAAAAATCAACTAGTAGTTAAAACAGTGGCGGCTGGTGGATTTTGGGTATACCAATACCTCATTATAAATTGCACCACTTTAATTTGAATTATCTCAAATAGGGGGCCAGGAGGCGGGTGAGGCTACACGAAAAACTAACATTTTTTCGCAAACTTCAATTTAAATTCTGTTTGCACTAAACTTGTCTATTTAATGTCATTATAAATTATTATAAATTTGGTGTGGGTCCCATGTCTTATAACTGGGATATTGATATAGGTACCCAAAATCCACCAGCCGCCACTGAGTTAAAATAACTATTTTATAAGTAAACAATGCTGTTACGTTAGGTGGCCAAAATAAGGTGAGAGTACGCGTAAATTTAAAGGCATTCATTTAAATTTCCGATAAAAAAACCGTGATATTAGGTTACTTACTACTTACTACTTAACACTTAACTACTTAACACTATTAAGGTCTTATACAATAAAATTTACTATAGAAACTTTTTTGTATTTTGTATAGATATTTTTTTGTATTTTGTATATTTTGAATAATTTTTAATAACATACTATTTCTTTAAAGTTAACTCAACTTTCGTATTCAAAGTTGCTTAGTTCAGCTTTTTGTACTATTTATAATAACAAAACATTAATCTGTAATTATTTAAGACGCTTTAAACTATTTCAAATAAAAACTTTTTAAGCGCAATTTTTTTTTAGTTTTGTTAACAGAATTGAAATGGAAAATTTAAAATAAAATAAATAACTTTAAATGCAGAATTAATTTTTTTTATATTAAAAGTTTATATTATGTTGTTAAATTATATAATTTTTATTATACTGTGAATTAAAAATTAACAATGTTTTACACGTGGTTATCAGTAAAGCGGGCGTTTATGATAAACATTTCCTTTTAAACTTCCTTTATGAGTAAACTTACCTAAACTGGATTGATTAATTTTTAATAGAATAATGCCTAATAAGACAATTTAATATGGGGTAAATAAAAATATAGGGTAGATAAAAAAAGTGTGCCATTCAATCGTTTACCAAAATATACAATTGGGTCCTCCATTTCACTTATTTTTTAGGACTGAGTAATATTTTATAATTAAAATATAAAGTTCAAAGTAAATGCATTGTATGTGGTTTAACGCAATCGAGGAATCTTAGAAAATCCTGAAAAGAAAGAGTGAACTCTTTGCATGCTTTAAAATCAAAATGAAAACAATACAGCCGGATTGGCAGGGAGGCTGGGGAACAAAGCCCCCTGCAGCGGTGCGCCGCTGTGAATTTATATTTATTCAATTTTAAGGCAAAGTTGTCTTACTAAAAAAGGTAAAACTAAGGGTTCTGTTTTTAACATCCTCGTTAAAGTGGAAAGGGAAAATGTAAATAGAAAAATCACGATGCGCGACCCAGTAGCGTGTCAAATTTTTTGGGGCCCCCCCTGCGAACTTTTTTTTGAGACCCCTATGTCACTATTATATTTTCCAAAAATAATCCATTACAGTAAATATTTATACATAATATCATTATCTAATAGTTAAAAAACACAGCGAATTTTTGAAACTAAATTTATTTCTATAAATTATTATGTGTTATTATAATATAGGAGGGATGATTGAAAAAATCTAAAAAAATGTTCTTCTAATACAAGGAAAACATACAACAAATATTTAACTAATAAGTACAAAGATATGGAATTAAATATGCAATATTTTAAAAACTACTTATAAAATATCCTAACGTTTGTACCTTAACGAAAGGAACTTGTCAACTATTTTGTCTAAATCTACATCTTTCGCTCATTCATTTTCTACTGAGATTATGGCCAATGAGCTAAGGCGATTTTGTACCATACTAGATCTCGTAAAGCTTTTTATTATCTTCAACTTTGAAAAAGTCCTTTCTGGTTGAGCCGATGTAACGGGAAGTACTAGAAACAACTGGAACGCAGTGCAAATATCAGGTATACTACTTATTAGTAATTGATTTTTTTCAAAAATAAAATCTGAAAACTTTCTTATGCTATGAAAATTTTTAATCTTTTCGTAAAGTAATTTTTTTAATTGTATTAGTTCCAATCCTAGATTTTGAGTTAAGTCGTTAGGATATTTCTCTATTAATACTCTGGCATTTTATCAGATTCTTGCGCGTTTATCAATGTTTGTGGGTTTAAAATTTCAAATTTCGAATAAATATTTTTAAATGCTTCATACCTGATTCTAAACTGAGTTAATATTATATCCAAACAAGCATTAAAAATTGTAACTTTTAAACGATTTTTATTATTTTCAATTGGCTCATCAAAATTTTTTTTGACTGTACGGACTCTTTTGCTTTTCAGTTGAGGATCAATATTCCAAGATTTCGCAGTTAAAATAGATAACTCATACACATTTTTAAAATTTTCTCTGATACTCTCTAATTTGGCAAGAACTCCTGATATTAGATCTGTTGCCTGTCCTATGTCAATGTCATTCTTTTGCAAACATTTTGAAAGCATATTAATATTTTCCAAAATAGTACCTTGAAAACATAGCAAGAAAATTAATTCAAAATTTTCTATTTTATTTTGTAATATCTTGGCCTCATCTCTATAACTGCGTTTTTTGGCTATTAATGTTAAATTTGATAAACACTTGACAACCGACAAAAAATTATTTTTTAACGATATTATACTATCCAAACCAACAGTTTCTTCTTTCTTTTTATTTCGGAGTTTAATCTTTGCCAACGAGGTAGACTTTTACTAAAAAATACGTAGAAAAAAATGTCTTATTGCGGCAATGTTGCTTACAGAGTCATTTAAAATAAGATTTAAGCTATGTGCAATGGACATAATCGCCATTTGGTTGTCGTTGTTTGATTAGAGCTTGCAGACCTGCGTATTTCCCTGCAAAAAAACTTATTTTTATAAGGTTCCATATTAATGATGATTGAACTTTTAAGACAACTTTATTTTTTTAATCAATAAAAAGTATAGTGTACAATGTATATTAGTTGTCGAAAAAACATAATTTAAATGTTCTTACCGCTCATATTTGCAGCACCATTATAACTCTGGCCTCTACATTTATCTAGGGAAATTTCATACTTCTGTAGAACTTTTAAAATTTCACTTTCAAAATCTTTTGCACACTGGCCTGTCATTTCGTAAAATCCCAGAAATGATTCTTCAACCTTAAATTTGTTTTCTTTGAGCTTAATATGTCTAAACACAAGACTAAGTTGATCTTTTCTACTTCTGTGTCGTATCAACGATGATTGAAAAAAATGGGCTGTCCTTGATATCTTCAACAATTAATTGCAATATTGAATCAGCAATAAAAGAAATAAATTGATTTTGCGATGTATTACTTAAATAATGTCTAGTTCCTTTCTTAATTCCATTAATATGCAACTTAAGAACTGGGTCATATCTGGCTAAAAGTTTGACAATATTTAAAAAAACGCCTTTTGAGGAGTCAGCTTTCAGTTTATTTTCATCTAAAGAAAAAATGTCTCGATGACCTCGGAAAGGCAGAGAAGACATGGCAATTGTTCTAGTTACGTCAATAATCCTTTTCAGTACAGCTTTTAATCTATGTATATCTTCATTTAAACATATATCCACCGTCTTATTAGCTTTCCACGTCGAATACACCAATCATGCATCGAGATGAACTCTTGCATTCCCGTGTGTCAAAATTAATTTTTAAAGGCCTGTCCAATCATTTAACATTCCCGTGGTCCAAGCAGGGTTAAAAGAGGTACTGCTCCTATCCGCAAACAACCAGCAAGGATGACAGTATACTCCATTTAAAGTCACTGAGTAGGCTATCCAGAATCTTAAATAAAAAAATAAAACACTTGTATTGGAAAACAGTGTTTTTTTATTTTGTAGCGTGAAATATTGAAAGAAAATATAATAGTATATAAAAGTATAAGTGGATAACAAGGTCTTTAAAACATGCGCGATTTTTCTAGCACGACGGCGCAGCCGGAGTACTTGAAATAGAGCAAGCAAGCAAGTGTATCTTCTGTTTTCTATTCTAAAGCAAATTTTTCAACTTACCGTTCCAACAACTGTCCAGATGATGTCCTTTTCTTATAATACACTTCACTAAATGATCGGTTTGAGTCGTCTTTTGCAAAGCACTTATAGGCCTTTCGGGCCTATACGGTCCAACATGCACAAGCTGCTTTTTTAGATCATCACTTAATTCAGTGTTTAAAAAAAGCGCTAAGTCACTGGAGAATATTGGACCTGATTCGAGACTTGACTCAAAATCTGAATCTTCGTTTTCGAGAATATTTGCACCTTCAATGTCTGGTAGGATAGTTTCATCATCATACACTCCTGTTTTTGATGATGAGGTTGCGGATGTTGACGGCGTTTCAGAAGTTGATATAACTTTTTTTTTGAAAAAACGTATCAATTTTGGCAATCTTCTTCTTCTGCTCCTCATTTTTTTCAACTAGTTTTCTTTTTTGAGCCCCACTCAGATATTTGCGCGAACTACTCATTTTAATATTTTAAATATCAACTCAAAACTCAAACGTAACAAGTGAAACAACAAAGACTCGCTAATAACCAGAAATTCCCTCTAAAACGGGGAATCACTGAGGTTTCGACCAGCCAGGGTTGACAATTGTTTGGGCGTTCACATTTTTTATGTTCGAAAGAAATGGTGACAAATTAAATATTGATTTGAAATGTTTAAATGTGCATATTTGTAGTTTTGGAGTTTGTTTGATATACATAGGTATTACTTTTTCTTAGAGTATATTGGGGGCCCGGAGGCCTCCAATATACTGGGGGCCCCCACGCGTGGCGGGGTCTGCGGGGCCGTTTGACACGCGCCTGGCGCGACCTCTAAATATTATTGTTAAGAGTTCCGGTTTTTACAGGCATCTATTTTCACCTCCCTGAATCTATTTCAGAGGGGATTTAAAAAAAATAATACTCGATTTTTTTAAATCAGCCTAATATATATATATATATATATATATACACACATCAACAAAGTCTAGGGATAATCGTGAAAATTTGCAATAAAACAATTATTTTTTTCAAAAAAACTCTCAATTTTTTGTAGGATATTCTCACATGTATTTTAATCATTTGTTATAATAATAATTTGTTTTTTAATTATTTGTTAAAAAAATATTCAACAAAAAAGTTGTATACTAAATTCGAAGGGAGTGGCCTATATAAAAACTGCAAACAAAAACGTCAGAAAACTTATACTTTGCGAAACCATGGCTAGAAGACATTTAACGAACGAAGAAATGTTAAGAGTTATTGGGATGATTGAAGCGGGTGCAACCCAACAAGTAGTTGCCGCTCAGCTAGAAACATCACAAAGCGTGATAAACAGATTGTGTCAACGCTATCGAGATAGCAACAGTGTGAATAAAAGACATCCAGGCCGACGAAGGCTTACAACGGCAAATCAAGACCGCTTTATTGTTCTGCAGGCCAGAAGAAACCGATCTCAAACTGCATCTGAGTTGGTTGCTGAGATGCAATTTTCACCTAATGTGACTGTGAGTGCTCAGACCATTAGACGATTAAATGAAAGAAATCTTTATGCTATAGGCCCTCTCAGGGTTCCCCCTTTGTCCGCTTTAAATCGAGTAGCTAGACTTTTGTGGGCCTAGAATCATTTAAATTGGTCTGATGAACAATGGTCCACAGTTTTGTTTAGTGATGAATTTCGGTTTGGCCTGCATCCAGACTCAAGAAGAACGAGGGTATGGCGATGTCCCGGACCAGCAGCACGGCTAGAAACTGCTCATGAGGTCCATACTTACCGTGGTGGAACTGTTATGGTGTGGGTTGGTATCAGCGTTGCAGGAAGAAGTGATCTCATTCCACTTTAGGGATTTTTAAACTCAATTGCTTATCGAGATCTTATCCTTCAACCCCTCGTGATTCCGTATGCTGCAGCTGTTGGTCCAGGATTCATTTTCATGCACGTCAATGCCACTTCACACAGTGCACGAATAATAAGTGGTTTCTTGGATGAAGAAAATATCGACGTTCTTCCATGGCCAGCACAATCCCCGGACTTAAATCCGATAGAGAATCTGTGGGACATGTTACAAAGGCGGGTTATGCGTAGAAATCTTTTTTTAAATTATCGTCAAGAGCTCATTTTAAGTTTACAAAGAGAATGGACCGCAATTGACCAGGAGGCAATTAATGCATTAATTTTGAGTATGAACAGACGGCGCAGAGCTTATTGACATCGCCTTCATAATAAAGTTTGATTTTTTTGTTATTTTCACTTCATTGTTTAATAAAGCTATTTTCATTTAATTGCATATTTTTATGACTTTTCGTTCAAAAATAGTAAAAATATATATGTGAGAATATCTTTACAAAAATAACTGTTTTATTGCAAATTTTCACGATTATCCTTAGACTTTGATGTGGGTATACAGACTGTTTCACATTCGAGGTCCATTAGAAGTTTATGGGAAACGGAAAAAGATATCGTTTTGAAATTTTAAAAGCGTTTATAATCTATTCAAGTCTATTTTTCTAAAATATTTTAAACAAATTACCACGTCCGGTTTAACCGGAAGTGACATCAACTTTGTTATTTCAAATTAAACATCCCATATATTTTTACATTTTTAAATTCTAAATAAAAATCTTTTTCGTTAAAATTTGACAAATGCGCGTCGATCAAAAATAGCCTATTACTTTTTTGTTATTAGGTTTGCGAATATGGGGTTGAAATTTTTTGAATCCTAAAACGATGTTTAAACGATTCCATGTCAATTATTTACATTTTTCAACACATTACCTGAGAAAACCCAGGGCAATTTAGGATAACTTGAAAGGTTAATAACTTTTTTATTTTAAATGTAACATCCGGTATGTTTTTACATAATCAAATAGTAATATAAAAAAACCTTTCGATTGATGTTACTATTTCCTATACCTAAAGTTAATAATTTCAAAGATATTTAACAAATTTAACAAATTTTAAATATTATTTTTTATTGTAGCGAGTACCCCTCTGGATCTCGGAGTGGTGACTTATCGCCAACGTTACAATTGGTGTCAGAAGTGCGGTTAGTGTGAACTTCACGAAAATGGTTTCGTTAATGGACTTAAAAGTGGCGGACCTTAAGCGGGAGCTGGAAGAAAGGGAATGTGGGACCACTGAAAAAAAAATGTGTTGCAGCAGTGGCTTCGAAAAGCGTTGGAGCAGTTGCAAAATCCAGATACGTATTTATTTGAAGGCCCTTTTAACATGTATTTAATGTTGCAAAATTTAAACGAAAAAATGTTGGAGAATTCTAACAATTTGAAAGGTGATTTAAAACAGAACATTCTAGAAAATTCTTAGAGTTACAATAGAAAATGCTTCTATAGAACTAAAAGTCGATTTGCAACAGAAAATGGTGGAAAATTTTAGCGATTTGAAAATCGATTTACAACAGAAGATTCTGGAAAATGTCAATGAATTAGAAGAGAAAATGGGACATAAATTTGACGACGTAAGGATGGAATTGGATGATAAATTGGAACTCAAAATAAAAGAAATAAATATTAAATTAACAGCTGTTAATATACCCATGATGCTGGCGGAACCAAGAACAGTGCAGGACGGAAGCCGAGTCCGGATGAAACCACCGATGGAAAAACTTCTTGGACCAACTACATGCGTCAGTTTGAGGCAGCAGCAAAAGCAAATGACTACGTGGATATGCAAACAAAAAGATTACGAAACGTTGGTGAAACATCTAGAACTGCGATATGGCCAGATACATCTAGAACATGTGTACCATTCCCAACTAAAGAACCGCTGCCAAAAATCAAACGAGACTTTACAAGAAGGCTGATATTGCACGCTTGGTCCGGCTAGCATATCCAGCTACTTCAACGACCGTTATGGAACGATTAGCGGTTCAAGCGTCCTAGCCAACTGGTTGATGCATTGGCCCGAGACCTAGAATTAGGAGAGTCGAGGAAGGGAAAGAGGAGGAACCCAGTATAATTGAAGAAATCAGGCGAGTTACCGTTCTTCTATCCACGATACAATCGGCCAGATACCCGCTAGCATTGTTATGGGACGTGAACTTCGTCTACCTTGTGACCTGAGAATCGGTTGCCTACCAGGGGAAGATATTGGTGGAGAAGATTACGTAAGCAATTTACATAGGAAAATGAGCGACATTCACAGCCGAGTGCCAGTGCCAGTGATAGAATGAAAGAGGCATACGACATCAAGGCGGAGAATGGTTATTCGCCGAAGCTGTAGACTTCTTGGTAAGGACCATACGAAGTCATGGATCACATAAATGACATCATCTACAGGATCAGAAAACAACCAAGAGGAATAGCCATTTTAACCGATTGGCTCCTTACGTTGGAAACAATGATGACCAAATAAACGATGCTATGCGATACCGACTTAATTATCGAGCTGTTGCAAAATGCCTAAAACTCGTAAAGATTGGCGATGTCCTGTATTAGGTGAACCACAAAAAATTTCTGAAAACATGTTGCCGACATATAATGATATAATTAAATATTATTTGTTGGTCAGAAATGATTTGCTTAAATTAAATGGTGGGAAAGGCCAGGCTATCAAAGATGTGTGTGAAATTATTTCCTGTGTCATCGAGAAAATATGGAATAAATAAAACTTCGATTCATATTGTTAGCCATCAACAAGTTGTGGCGAGGTTGATTTCATATTACAACAAGTACAAGGGCGTGAAAAAACTTCTGCGACGAGTCCAAAAAACTATTTGATATTGCTACTTGTAAATGCGATTCAAAGAATTCGTGCAAATGTGCTGTTAAAATTTGGTTGCAATAGGATGTGATGGTACCGCGGTAAATAGAGGACATCGTTTGTCATCGTTTTACTGAAAAAATAACTTGGTCTCCCTCTACAGTGGTTTGTGGTACAACAACAGGGCCGAAAAGTTTTTCAGGTGTTATTGGTAAAGAACTGGAGGAGGCCTGAACTATGAAGTAGTGGATTTTGAAGTAATCGACGTAAAATTGCCCGAAATTGATGCTAGTTTGTTGAGCACGGATCAAAAAAAGTTGCTCAGCGATATCTTAAGGTACAATTCCCACTTCCTTATAAGGATCTTTGGTAGCTATAGCTAATATCCAGAATTTTGAAAATATAAAACATTTAAAATAGATAGCATAGGAAATGGATAATGGCAATGTTTCTTCCTAAGATGGCGTCCTAAAGAATATATAATTTTTACTGAAAAGCCATAAATCTTCTTATATTCTGAATTTTGAACATATAAAACCTTTAAAATAGATAGCATAGGAAAATTAACATGAGGAATGGATGATGAAAATGTTTCTTCCTAAGAAGGCATCCTAAAGAAAATTCAATTTTTAATGAAAAACTTTAAATATTCTAATATCCAGAATTTTCAAAATATAAAACATTTTAAATATATAGCATAGGAAAAT